GACGGTTTTGGTGTTTTGAGACTCTGCCCCGCGGGTTCAATCCCGCCCGTGGTATGGTTTATCATTGACACATACTACTATACAGAAAGCCGCTTGTTATGCAGAGTATTTCGATCAAATTTGGTCAGTTTTGTCCCAGGATGCGACCCACACCAGTCCACTAACACCCAGGTACCCATTTCACTGATGGTGAACATAGACAACCGGTGTAAAGAAACACGCCCAATGTTTCTACCCTCACTGAGAATTGAACCCAGACATTCGCCGTGCGAAGCGAGAGCTTTAGCCACCAGGCTATATCATATGTCCCTCACCTGTGTTTAGGAGGGAAATTTCACCCGCTGTGGCTGTGCCACACATAAATTTGCTGTAGTAATCACTTTAATTTAAGAGGTCGACTGGACCAACCTTGTTGGTCTGAGTGTCAAGGTTGACTAGTTCCACACCAGCAGCCTTTAACGTTGTGATGGCTATTTGCTAACCTTTTATGTGTATGTTCACAGGTAGGTGATCAATGACCACTGCGTTAATTTTCTCGGATTACTGTCTCAGACAGACTGTGAAGCTCGTTATTTGGTATGGTGGGCTGCCAGGATACTGGAAGAACCCAGCCAGGTCCAGTAACACCTGATAGTGCCAGGCTACTGCCAGTCCCTATAACGAACCCTGATGAATGAAGGACATCTGTGATCCTTAATTAAATAAGGCAATTCCTTGTGTACTCAGATGCTCATTTACAATTACAAGTCGCGTTACCGGTAAGGCTGTCCGACTTAGGTTAGTGAGGGCAGTCAAGGTGTACGAGCTAGAGAGAGGTAGGAGCAGCTCCTCACACCTCCTGTTGACAGTTGTCAGCTGTGACCTACTTCTTCCCGTTTTCTATGCAGGGTATAGCGGGGACAGACTATTGTTATGTATATTCTTGTACTTCAGGACTTAAGATGTCTGGGATTGCAGTCACTTCCTGGGTGACACCCAGGCACTTCTCACAGAGTCTGAGCTCCCAAACTCTGTTTCTGGGTGGGGACTGTTGTAAACTCGTGACAAAAAGGGGCCCAAAGCAGAGTAAACATTTTGGAGAGCGGGAGGGGGCTGGTGGAGTCCTGCTTTTCCACTTCTTTTTGGCTCGTCCCTTCCTCTTGTAGTGCTAGTAGTGTCCAGGACACGCCTACTGTTGCTTTGTCTGTGGCGTAGCAATCCCTTGCATCGTAGGTGTTGACGCACTGGGTGCGACCCTGTCAGGCGACCGCTTGACATGCTTCGAGTCAGGCTGCATGTTACTATGCATACAAGGCACAATATGTTGCACCGTACGTGTACTTACGAATGTCCTTTTTAAATCTAGATTTTTCTAACTTAAATCCGTTATTTCTCGTTTTTACCTGATTCGATATCCTCAGTATTTTATTAGTATCACCTTTATTTATGCCCATTATCCACTTATACACCTCGATGATATTTCCCCTCATTCTACGTCTCTCCAGAGAGTGAAGATTCAAGGCTCTAAGTCGATCTTCATACGGGAGATTCCTTACACAGTAAATCATTATAGTCATTCTTCTCTGCATGTTCTCCAATAAGCTTATATCCATCCTGTAGTAAGGAGACCAAAACTGAGCAGCATAATCTAAATGAGGCCTCACTAGTGATGTATAGAGCTGTAAAATAACTTTTGAACTTCTGTTACTTATACTTCTTAAGATAAATCCCAGTAATCTGTTGGCCTTGTTGCGCACACTAAGGCACTGCTGTCTTGGCTTTAGATTTCTGCTCACCATGACTTCCAAGTCTATTTCACATTCTGTATGATCAAGCTCTACTTCACCTAGATTATAGCTTCGAGGGTTATTTTCATTACCAAGAACTAGTACCTTACACTTATCCACATTGAACTTCATCTGCCACTTGGCTTTCAAACAAAGTTGGATTAATGTTGGTAGAATTACCGACAATTTGTTAGGTAAAAGGACACAAGCACAATTAATGTGACATTTTATTGTGGCAACGTTTCGCTCTCCAGGAGCTTTGCTAAGCTGTTACAACACATTGGCTCCACTATAAAATGCTCCATTTTCATGTTCCTGTATTAGATTGATAGTCACTAGAGGACAAAATCCCTCTCAGTTTGTCAGTATTATATATCTTAGCTATGAAGATACTGACAGCTTCTTATTCTGATTAGTTATCTTCTCACTTACTTGGGAATGGTAAACTCCTTCCAGTCGTCAAGGGTGACATTGAGTGGGCGGCCAGGTATGTGACACCAGTGGGTGGGCGTGGAGGTCATGAAGATGGGTGTTAGTGCTATCCACGGGATGATAAAGTTGATAGGCACTACGAAGAGCCAGTAAAGCAGTCTCTGGTGCCTCCCATTATTTCCTACTTCTTCCAGTAGCTGCAAATTGAAAATACCTTAATTGTGCCGTAAAGTTCAACGATAGCAATAAATTTCATTTGCAAATCAAATGACACTTGTGAATCAAATAAACATGAGTATAAGTCACGATAATGTGACTTCAACAATTCACAAATAGCCTTCAAAATTGGATAAGGAATCAGGCAAAGTTTTGGTGCATCCTGGCCCCTTATTAACCTGTCGTCTTCATTGATCTCCATTTTCCAGGTTGGATGTGAATCAGGTAAGCACATCCAAGGAACTTCTTATTTCGAACTTGGCTTCGCAAGTTCATCACGCCGCCATTTTGCTGTTTTTTATGCAGTAAAATTTGGTACACCGAAATTTTATGGCTACCTGATTCTATACGATATCAAAGTATAAAACAAAATCCAGCTATATGCATAATAATTTATATATTCCTGTCTACCATAGGTTGGTAGACAGCAACCACCCAGGGAAGTACTACCGTCCTGCCAGATGACTGTGAAACAAAAACCTGTAACTGTTTTGCATGATGGTAGGATTGCTGGTTTCTTTTTCTGTCTCATAAACACGCTAAGATAACAGGGATATCTTGCTACTCCTACTTACACTTTGGTCACACTTCACAGACACGCACATGCATATATATATATACATACATCTAGGTTTTTCTCTTTTTTCTAAATAGCTCTTGTTCTTTTTTATTTCTTCTATTGTCCATGGGGAAGTGGAAAAGAATCTTTCCTCCGTAAGCCATGCGTGTCGTATGAGGCGACTAAAATGCCGGGAGCAATGGGCTAGTAACCCCTTCTCCTGTATACAATTACTAAAAAAGAGAAGAAGAAAAACTTTATAAAACTGGGTTGCTTAAATGTGCGTGGATGTAGTGCGGATGACAAGAAACAGATGATTGCTGATGTTATGAATGAAAAGAAGTTTGGATGATCCTGGCCCTAAGCGAAACAAAGCTGAAGGGGGTAGGAGAGTTTCAGTGGGGGGAAATAAATGGGATTAAATCTGGTACTGAGAGAGTTAGAGCAAAGGAAGGGGTAGCAGTAATGTTAAATGATCAGTTATGGAAGGAGAAAAGAGAATATGAATGTGTAAATTCAAGAATTATGTGGATTTAAAGTAAAGGTTGGATGCGAGAAGTGGGTTCATAATAAGCGTGTATGCACCCGGAGAAGAAGGAATGCAGAGAGAGAGAGAGAGATTTTGGGAGATGTTAAGTGAATGTATAGGAGCCTTTGAACCAAGTGAGAGAGTAATTGTGGTAGGGGATTGAAGCTAAATAGGAGAAATTTTTTAGAGAGGGTGGGTAGGAAGTTGGGGTGCCATTTTAAATGATAATGGGACCCCTTTGATTGATTTTGTATAGAAAGGGTTTTTTTATGGGAATAAAATTTTTTTAAAAAAAAAGGAAAAATAAGTATACATGATATGAGTAGGGCAAAATGACAGTAGTTTGTTGGATTATTTTTTGGTAGATAAAAGATGTTGATAGACTTCGGGATGACATTTTTATAGGGGGGCCACAGATATATCAGATCATTTTCTATTTTAGCTAACTGAGAGTAAAAGGTAGATGGGATACAAGGGAAAAAAGCATCAGGAAGAGGAGGTAAAGGTTTATAAACAAAAGAGGGGGCGTTAGGGTAAGAAATAAAAGCTATTGGAGGATGATGGGCTAATGAAGCATGGGCAATGGGGTCAAGAGGTATGGGGTAGGTTTAAAAGTGTGTTAGAGTGTTCAGCAAATTTGTGGTTACAGGAAAGGGGGTGCAGGGGGGAAGAGGCGATTGGTGGAATGATGATGAAAAGAGAGTAGTAAGGAGAAAAAGTTGCATAGAGAAGTTTTTACAAAGTAAATGATGCAAGGGGGGAAAGAGTATATGGAAAAAAAGAGAGAATTTTAAGAGAGGGGTGAAGCAATGTAAAAAGAAGCAAAAAGAGATGGGGGAGATGTTATCAACAAATTTTTTTAAAATAAGAAAAAATTTTGGGTGAGATTAAAAAGTTAAGAAAGCCTAGGAAAAAAAATGGGTTTGCAGTTAAAAATAGGAGAGGGGTTTTTTAAATGGGGAGTTAGAGGTATTGGGAAGAGGAAGGAATATTTTGAGGGGAAATTTTTAAATTTTGATGAAGATAAAACTGGATTTGTGTATAGGGGAAGGGGGAAAACATCTTTAGGGGGAGGAAAAGCCAGTTTTGAGTGTGGGGAATTCGTGAGGGAGAGGTAAAATGAAGGGGGGAAGGCACCGGGGGTTGATGGGATAAAGATAGAAATGTTAAAAACAGGGGGGTATATTTTTTGGGGTGGTTTGGGCAAATTTTTTAAAAATGGAAAGGGGTAAGGGACCTAGGGATTGGCAGAGACATGCATAGTTCCTTTGTATAAAGGCAAAGGGGGAAAAAAAGATGCAAAAATTTAGGGGAAAGTCGTTGAGTGTACCTGGTAAAATTATGGGAGAGTTATAATTGAAAGAAATTTAAAAGTAAGACGGAAATAGGAAGCAGATAACAAGGGCTTTAGGAAAAGGGAGGGGGTGTTGGGCCAGGTGTTTTTCAGTGAAACATATAAGGGAAAAGTATTTAGATAAGGGAAAGAGGTCTTGTGGGATTTATGGGTTTGGAAAAGGCGTAACAGGGTGGAAGGGGGCAATGGGGAGATGTTGCAAATGTATGTGTAGGGGGTAGGTTACTGAAAGAAATGAAGAGTTTTTCGAGGGGGAGGCCAAGTTAGAGTATTTGGAAAGAGTGAAAAATTTTTCCCCGTAAAAGTAGGGCCCTTTGACAAGGATTGTGATGTCACCGTGGTTGTTTAAAATATTTTTTAGTGGGGGTTGTAAGGAAGTAAATCAGGGTTTTGGGAAGAGGCGTGGAGTTAAAAGATAAAGAATCAACACAAATGGGAGTTTTTCACAGCGCTCTTTCTGATGACACTGTTTCCCTTGGGGGATTTTGAAGAAAGTTTCAGAGATTGGGGATGAATTTTGGGAGGGTGTGCAAAAGAAGAAAATTAAAGGTGAAACAGGAAAGAGAAAAGGGTTTGAGGATAACAAAGATTAGGTGATGAAAAATTTTAAAATCAATTGGGGGGAAGAGTATGGGGGAGGTTTAACTATTCGAATTTGGGGGTGGACGGTCGCGATGGGCTAGAAAATGAGGGTGAATCATGAATTGATGAGGGGAAAAAAAGTGATGGGGCACAGGATCTGTGGAAAAAAAGAACTTTTTTCCCTTGGGGGCAAAAAGGGGGAAAGTATGAATATAGTTTTACCAACGCTCTTAAAGGGTGTGAAGCGTGGGGGATGAATGGCGCGGGAGAAGGCTGGAGGCAGTGGGATGTCATGTCGAGGGCAATGTTGGGGTGAATATAATGCAGAGAATTCGTAGTTTGGAAGTTAGGAGGAGGTGGGGGGTTTTTACCAAACTGTTTCCAAGGCTGGGGAAAGGGGTTTTGAGGGGTTGGGCATGTAAAGAATGGAGCGAAACAGAATGATTCAAGAGTGTATCAGCGTAGGGGAAAGGAAGGGGGTAGGGGTGGGCCAGGAAGGGTTGGGAGGGGGGGGGAAAAGGAGGTTTTGTGTCGAGGGGCTTGGACCCCAGCAGGCAGCGGAGGTGTTTTGTAGGATGAATGAGACAAAGGGTTTTTTTTTAAACTTGACGTCTGTTGGAGTGTGACAAAGAAACATTTATGAAGGGTTTTCAGGGAAACCGGCAGGCCGGACTTGAGTCCTGGAGAGGGAAGTACAGTCCCTGCACCGAAGGAGGGGTTTAATGTTGCATTTTAAAAACGAGTGTAAACACCCTTCGGGCAAGACAGTGATGGAGTGAATGATGGTAAAATTTTTTTCTTTTTCGGGCCCCCCCTCCCTTGGGGGAAAACGGCCGGTGTGAAATAATAAAAAAACCCCCATGGGTATTTATCTACCACTAGGGGGGGAATCTTGCTCTAGGCCCTTTGTGTTAAAATTTGCAATCTTTACTGCAGAGCAATGCAAAAGAAGAAAGGAATTTAGAAAGCCCAAACAGGTGGTTTAAGAGACTTTCCCAATAGATAAACCCAGCTGAAAGCTAATACCCCGGTATCAACTACAAAAACTATATCACCTGATCTTAATTTTTCTGTCTTTAACCCTCTATCCCCGCAGTTTTGCCCACTTTTATTTTACCCATGCCCCACAATTTCCACTCTCACATCTGACTCTCCTCACTCCTACAAGATATTTATTTCCCCCCCAATGCGAAACCACTGCCTCATTTTTTTTCAACACTAACTCCCTTTAAAATATTCTTCCCCCTGATCTCTTTCCCTTTTTTTCAGTGGGTAAACAAAGAATCAAACTCCTGTTTGGAGAGCAGAAATCACCCTCAAGGGGGTCCAGCAGGGTATCCTCCTGCACAATTTCTCTTCTGTATAGAGTTAGGGAAATCACAGTCAGACTGACCCTGAGCTAAACATCGGGGTTTCCGGATGATGGGACAAACAGTACAAAGGAGTCCCTCTTAGGTGATCTTACACAAGTGATGACCTGAGGACAGGAAATGGGTATCATCCTGAATCCATCCAAATGTGAAATCATTTCAATCAACAAGTGATAAATTCAGTGAGATCCAAACTACAAGGAGCATCAGTCATTGCCCCTACAAATATCGTCTTGCTTGGAGCACCTCTGGGAAGCGATGTCATTGACACAATCCTCAGGAAGAAATTTGAAGAGTTGAGGAGAATGGAACAACGAATAGGCAGTCTTGACACCCACGATGCCTTGTACCTTCTCACAAAGTGCTTGAGTCTGCCAGGGTTGACATATTCACTAAGATGAGCACCTTCATAAGATAACCCCATACTGCACGAATATGACAGTATCCTGAGGCAGATTTTTAAGAAAGTACTTAACCTTACTCTAGAAGACGGGCAGTGGAACCAAGCTACACTTCCAGTCAGACTAGGAGGCACTGGTGTCCGCAAATCATCACAGATTGGATTACCTGCTTTCCTGTCCTCATGC